AATCCATTATTTTAAAGTTTGATCAATAATGTCTTATCATAGCTTACAATATATCTAAAATTACCATAATATATAACCCATAATAACTTCTCCTGATTTGATTGTAGCTTCACGGAAACACATATTACTTTTGGTTTTAATGCCTGGGTTTAAGATTACGATTAACTCTTTCCAATCCGATTATGGATGGAATCTTACTATAATACATAACAGCAAGGATTGCCTTCACAGGCAAAACTATTAGAGGTATTCAGACTTTAAGTGATTAATATATCATTTGGTGCTGAACTGAGTCTCACAACAAATGAAGGGAAAAAACAGATTTCCATGAAGGTTTCTGAAGAAGGCCCTAGACAATTCATAAGGACACAACAGGCCATGCATTTGAATAGATGCAAATGCACAGTACTTTCAGATATGGGAACTGAAGTCATACCTGATAATATTTATAATAGGCATAGTCCACAGCTGTTCCCACAGCTTTTCTCTGTCCTTCCCTAAGAGTAACTGGTGCAAGGATATCTGCGCCAGCTTCAAGCAGCTTATCAACCTGAAGAAAGCAAATCATTACACATCCAAGCAAAAAGACAACCTTCCCAAAAAATTGCATTCACACCACAGCTAAAGAGACAGGACTGATCATCAGAACTTAACCTCTATTTGTGAGACTATTTTGTGCACTGAACCATGCATTTCTTCTGCCACTTTAGAGCTGATGATGAATTGTCAAATCTAAATGTGTTTTGTAAGTAAAACCTTCTTGCAGGCAGTTGCTATTTGTTTCTGGGTACCTCACAATCTTGCAGCAACAAATGAAGCAGGGACAACTCATGAGGGAGGGGGCAGAACAGAACCCAGCCGGGGAAATTGCCTCTGCTTCCAGACCCCTCAGCTGCAGCCTGCCTCACCTCCACTCTGAATGAGATCAGCCCTGTGCTCCCTGGGATGAGGAGAAAAACTCCAATTTTCACAAGGCCAAATGCTGCCATTGACCTCATCATAGATGAGAAAGTGCACTCATCACAAGTGGTATTGACCACTTTACAGTAACAACCAAACACAATGCATCTCTCTTCATGTGGATGCTGGCTGTGTTTATAAACAAGGTAATAGTCAGATTTGACAGGGCTGTGGGCACTACAACCATCCCGTTTGACTTTAATGTAGTTTTTCCTCTTCTACACAAGGTTATCATCCTCTTTACTCAAACGTGAAAATGGATTTCCATACAAACCCCCTGTTCCTCAGGACAGAAACAAACAGTATTAGGAATAGACACAAATTAATTGTTCCAGAAAAAAAAAATCAGCTTACCCATTAAAGAGAAAGGGGACTCAATGCACCTGACAAAAACCACTTTTTTTCTGAAGTTTAAAAAAACCAAACAAACAAACACCCAGATGTTATCTCACCAAAGCAATCCTCTGTGCTGTCGTTCTCTGCTGTTCATATGCCGTACTGACAGCTGCACAGAGGGCACTTCTTACTGCTCCACTTAATGGTAGATTTGGGTCAGCCCCATGTTTGAGGAGTTCAACCACTGCCTGCAAATGTGCATATGCAAATGTGACAAATTAGTGACCGGAGAAGCCATTATTGACAGTTCTACAGCAGGAAAGTGAGACCCTAGCGAGATCAGTCAAGACCCTAAAGCTTTACAGTATTTACCACAGCACACTTGGAGTATCTGCTAGTACCTGTCATAGCTTCAGTAGCACACAAAAATTTAGTCCACCAGACAGTAGTTTTCACTTCTTTTAGCGTGAATCATAGTGGTTATCATGGAGTACTTTACCAAACAATAGTATCAAAGGCATGAGAGGGTAGCTTTAAAAATCACCTGGTCTGATTCATAAAGTGTATTTCTTTAAAAAAAAAGCTTTACCACAAAGATAAGGATTAGATAGGTTGATCAATTACAGCCTATTAGATCATTACTTCATCAGACGTTAGCCTCTGAGAAGATGGGAGAAGCAGTAGAAGTTTTTGGATATGGGACTTTCTATTTCATTCAAAATAATGAAATTTAAATTTTTGTGTTGCAAGAAAACACTTTTGCCCAGAAAAATACAAAAACTGTCTTAAAAATGATGAAGACAGTGTAAGGAAAAAGGTTCACGGTCAAACACTTGATACAGAGTCTATTTTATGTTGTATGCAGTTGTAGCCATTTCTATTATAACCCCTTCCACAGTCCACACTCTAGCTCCATATTATATTGCATCCAGTTTTATTTTTATAGATGTTTGATACCCTTCCAGTGAAAGGAATATAGTTAAAGACTAACAACACAAAATGGTATTTTCTACTATGTTCTAGCATTTATCCTATGTAAAGTATAAATTTTGTAGTGACAGAACAAAACGTAGAATGTTGATTTCATCAAAAATACTGAAAAGGATTTCCCCCCCCAGCTTTGCTAATGGCTGTGTTTCCAAGAGAATGCTTCTCTGGATTATTTGTGTGCTTTTGTATTGGAGAAAAGTAAACAGGGAAGCAGAAATCACACTCCAGCCCTGCCCCTTTCAGCTTATCTGAACTGCTAGGCTAGAGTCAGTCACGCTTGCCCCCTTACAAGTGTTCTTGCCATTACCTTGTGTGCTGGCTGCACAACAGCTGAGCTTCATGGGGAGCCAGGGTGCCACTCTCACCCCATCATTCTCCCGCCTTGCTTCCCACAAAGAGATGAGCCAGGAGCCTGGACACACCAAGCTCTATTCAAAGAGAGGTAGAGTACCACAGACACATCTGGTTTATCACCTGCTTTGGCTACATATCTTCTCTTGCACCATGCTGGCTGCTGCAGACCTGCTGTTATGGGCCCAGTGTGGGCAGAAGGGAGTCCACTCCCTGCTCGGGAAGACAGGTGCTAACTTCACACACGGAATTCTACTGTGTGAACTATAAGCCTCATCTGTGGAGTGCTGAGCCTCATTACAACCAAATCCTTTCTAAGACTGATCATTAATCTTTTCATAGAACAGCATGCTTCCTACCATCAATGGCTACCCTTTTGCCTTATACCCAGAAGCAAGTGTTCTGGTGTTTGGTTGGGTTGCTCCACGCAGGGAGGCAGCCTGTAAGAGGACTGAATGTTCTTGTGATTCACAAAATGAACACAGTTCTCCAAATGTTAGTCCCTTCTGAGTCCTACCCAAGTATTTCTGGCTACCTCATACTATAGTCCTTTACGATTCCTCTAGTTTGGCTCACAAAATATCCATAGGCTTGAAAGAAAAGTAAAAACTTTATTATTTTCACTGAAAATGTATGATTGCAAGCACCACTCATTATGTAGTTTGGCTGTCATCACAGAAGGCAGACATGAATGGAGAAGTACACCCAAAAAAATGAAGGAACTTAAAGATGCTCACCAAGTCATTCCCACTGGCAATTGCTAAGGAAAGTGGTGAATGGCCACTCCACAATGTGTTTGGATTTGCCCGATGCATTAAAAGGAGGCAGATAACATCTCTGGCATGCTTTGTAGGCAAGTGTGGTGAAAAAAGGTAAAATTAGATCATAATAAAGTTAACTTTTTAATATTAAATTTAATAATAGTAGTATAATTAATAAAATGAGCAGCATAAAACACATTCAAACCTTCATCTAAACTATGATGTTATAGTAAAAATATACATCCACTTTTTCATGACTGAGAACCCCAAGCATAGTGGTGTTATACATGAAGCCTCTTCACAACCAGATTATCAAATCTCATTAATCCTGCCACCAGAAGGAATGTGTAGGTTTGCTTCTGAAGAAGTAGGTCACTTCTCTCAAATACTTTTCTCCAACTGCATGCATCCCAAATCTGCTAGAAGAATGTTACTATAGTACAAAATCAAATGCACAGAGGTTAGTGCATGCCAAAACTAAGACTGTCCAACTTCAAATTGGCCTTGTGGATGATTAAGTTAATGGCCAATTAACCAATGGAAACTCAACTAAAGGAGTTTCTCTTGTCAAACAGAACTCCAAAGATTTAAGAAATGTTTTTTCCTCAAGTGCTAATAGATTTTTAATCAGTACAACACTAATAAATCAGTAGAAAGGGAGTTTATCGCTGGTATTCAATCACCTTCTTACAGAGGGATGAAATGTCTTCACTGACAAGTTATGTCATTTGAGATTAGCTTAGAACTACTCCCTATGAGCAGAGCCTCAGATGCTATGATCTTACCTCACTGTTATCCTCTCTTTCGCATGCAATATGCAATGCACTCCTTCCACCTTCTTCAGGGACAGGACCACTATAGGAGGAAAAGTACTCTTGTGGTGGTCCTGCTTCATTTTTCAGTTGCAAAGTGACACCACCTGTCAAGTTGGCTTCTCTGGCTTGAGGCTGAGGAATCTAAGTGAAATGATGTGCACATTTGCAACATACGCTAAAGACAAGTTAACAGAAAATAAACCTGCCTGGTCACCCATTGGTCTGGATCTCAATCATGGACAAGACTTGTTCAGCCCCACAAAAACAACAGCCACCCTTTTCCTACTTTCTTCTCTACATTCAGGTCTCATCTGCTAGACTGCTTTTGCACTGCACACTAAGAAGTTTAATAAAACCAGTGGAGAAGTCTAGGGAAGGCAAATTTGAGAGAGAGAAGTTGTTAACTTTCACTGGGCCAAACGATACAGTGTAGGGAGTGGGAGGGAAGAAGCAAGCTTTCAGGCACAAAGGGCCTGCCTTGAGTCAAGCTCATTCACATGTCCACTCATTTAAGGTCTATGAATATAAGGTCACCAGATCAATATAAAAAACAAAAGTGATATTTGAGAAAGTAAATCTTGCCTACACTGTGTCTGGGCATTCTGTAACTAAGTACTGTTGATAAATAGGTATTAAGTTCTCCCGTTTACTACTTAAGGACAAAGTCTCTCAATCGCTAGCCCTTGTTCTCGTGAGGGACTTCAACTTCCCGGACGTCTGCTGGAAATACAACACGGCAGAGAGGAAGCAGTCTAGGAGGTTCCTGGAGTGTGTGGAAGACAACTTCCTGACACAGCTGGTAAGTGAGCCTACCAGGGGAGGTGCCTCGCTCAACCTGCTGTTTACAAACAGAGAAGGACTGGTGGGAGATGTGGTGGTCGGAGGCCGTCTTGGGCTTAGCGACCATGAAATGATAGAATTCTCGCTTCTTGGTGAAGTAAGGAGGGGGGCCAGCAAAACCGCAACCATGGACTTCCGGAGGGCGGACTTTGGCCTGTTCAGGACGCTGGTTGAGAGAGTCCCCAACCTCAATGATTCTATGATTCTACGATTCTACTAAAATACAAACTGACAAAGCCATCTAAATCTCTCTGTCCTGCAGACATTCACCTTAGTCCTTGTCATGACAACATAAATTTTGTCAGTCTAGTTACATAAGCCAACTCCTTTTTTAAGTGATTGGGACCTGATGGTATGCCAGGGAGCTGGCCAATGTCATTGCAAGGCCACTCTGGTTACCTCTGAGTGGTCATGGCGAGCAGGGGAGGTTTCTGAGGAATTTCTTTGCATTTCTGGCAAAATGGAAGGAAGAACCAGGGAACTACAAACTGGTCAGCCTCACCTCGGCCTATGGGAAACTGATGGAAAAATCTGAGAAGCCATCTCCAGACATACTACAGATAAGAAGGTGACTGGAAGCAGTCAGCATGGATTTGCAAAGGAGAAATCATGCCTGACAAACATGATAGCCTTCTACAATAAGATGACCAGCTTGGTGAAAGATGGGAAAGCAGTGAATGTTGTTTACCTTGACTTTAGCAAGGCTTTCAACACTGTCTCCTCAGTGAGCCTCATAGACAAGATGAAGAAGTATGGACTAGACAATCGGACAGTGAGGTGGATCATGGGTTGTGATCAGCAGCACAAAGTCCAGCTGTGCTATACCCCAGGGGCAGATATTAGGGCCAATACTATTTAATGTCTTCATTAATGACCTCAATGCTGGGACAAGAGTGCACCCTCAGCAAGTACACAGATGATACAAAACCGGGAAGAGTGGTTTAAAGCACCACACAGTTGTGCTGCTTTTCAGAGGGACCTGGACAGGCTGGAGAATTGGGCAGAGAAAAATCTTATTAAATTCAACAAAAGGAAATTGTTGTATTCCTCCCCTGCACCTGGGGAGGAATAATTCCAGGCACCAGTATGTGCTGGGGGCTGACCAGATGGAAAAAACCTTCTAGACTAGGACCTGGACGTCTTGCTGGACAAGTTGAACATGACCCAGCAGTGCGCCCCTGCAGCAAAGAAGGTCAACAGCATCCTAGGCTGCATTAGGAAAAGCATTGCCACTGGAACAGGTTGCCCAGAGAAGTTGTGGAGTCTCCACCCTTGGAGATACTCAAAAACCAATTGGACTAGATCGCAAGCAACATGCTATAATTGATCCTGCTTTGAGCAGGGGTATTGTACTACACAATCTTCAGAGGTCCCTTCCAATCTTTCAACTGTTCTGTGACTACAAGATTTTGTTACTACAACTTAAAGTAATTTATCAGGTAACAAATGCCAGAAAAAAGCACGTGTTACTGACATAGCTCCATCAGCACTAGAGAATTATCATTAAAAATGGCAACTCTAACTAAAAAGTGCTATACTATCAAAAAAGTCTACTGCTAGGCTGATCTTCTGCAACCTGTAGGCACAGAGAATGCTGCAGGAATCTAGCAGAGACAGCTGGGGTTCAAAGAAAAGAGAAATAAGGAAAGGAAAGAAAAGAAGTGTTAGGCCAGCTCCATGGAGATGAAACAAGCAAGTCCCATCACAGACATATCTGTTTCTGCAGGCATATCTTCAGGCATTTGTACTGGACTACACACAAGGGACTTTTAAACGTTGCCTTATATAAGGCATGATAGCAAAATGTTCTGGGGCACCAAAAACAGAAGGATATGTTTACTGCAACCCAATACTATAGACCTCAAGTGGCTTTTTCTTTTTTTTTTAAAGGTTCTTTCAGTGGAATGCAAAGATTTCACTGTGAAATCAAGCAGGCAGGAATCCCAACTCCCTGCTTAGGTCCTGTACAATCTGAATTTCAACAGCTGAAAGAAGATGAGCTCAAAAAGCAACATACCTTGTCTGGACCGTATATCTCATTTCCATCTTCTGCCCTTGCATTCAGATCTGGGGCAGAATGCAGGAGATACTGTGTTATCTGGACCCCTTCCTCCCCAGGAATTGAGGCAGCTATGTGGAGAGGAGTTAACCCCCCTAACTAAAAACACAAACATAGCATTAAGACTCCTGTTTATCACAAGCAGCACTTAAAGAGCGCTAAATATTTTTTCAAAGAATAATACAAGCTCACTCTTCCCACATGCTGTGTCTCACAAACAGCCACCATAAACCTAGAGCCTAGAGTTATAGGACTGTGGAACACTAAAGGTCCCAGACACTAAGCCTACTAAATACCACAACAGCTATTACCAACTTGAGGAGCAGCTTCACAAGTATTCCCCAGCCACTCACAAGCTTGGCAAGCAGGAAACATAATGAGGAAAAAAAATACTTAGAGAGTAAAGAGCTTTGAGTTCTTTCTACTAAAAAAAAAATCTTTGAACGGGATAATCGCTTTAAACAGCTTTCTGGCCATTCTAAAGCTGATTCTGACATGCAGGATATTTTACAGTAGGGCACTGAGGCTGCAGTACACATCTAGAATCCCACGTTATGAATGATAATCCAGTAAAACCTTGGATGGAAGCCGCACATCAGTCCTGGCTCCCCTTTCTAAGAGGAGTTTCACTGCTTCTGCATCTGCAGCTTTAACAGCAAAGAACAGAAGGTGTGGTGGGACCCAGGATGCATTGGGATCTGCACCTCGACGAAGCAGCAGTTGGATTGTTTCCCACCTCTTCTGTCGTCTAGAATTGACATGGAAAATATCGGAATAATTTATTAGCACCTTCCAAGAAAACTCTAAAAGCTAGTGGACTAAAATGACTCCCAGGTAATAGACATGAAAACGGTCACTTAGCAGAGGGAAGACATGGCAGTCTTTAGGGCTGCATCACAACTGCCCTACACCACCCAGGCAACATCATTATGATCTGAAGAGGGGACAGCACTGCCAGTGTATCTCAGCCCTCTAAACTAAAGGAGTGGCATGCAAAAGCAGTCCCTGTGGTCATGAAAAGCCCTTGCGTGGAGACAGGGGAAGCTAGGAAAGGTTCCCTGCATTTCCACCAGTCACTCAATGTGACTTGCAAACATTTAGTCTTAGACTTGTTTAATGAAAGAAACAGACTCCTCCTTCCTGCCATCGAAGACTCCCTGGAAGATTCTTTCCTCAATCACACCTCATTCACCCATTCCAAGAAAACAAAGGTACAGTGCTTCCCTTAAACAAAAGCTGGAACAGGAGCTATGTTAGACTAGGACAGTGTATTCCAGATGCCATCTGCATTTCCATGGAGGCAAACTATCTACCTCCCCCCCCCAAAATCTTGACACCACCAAAAAAAAAAAAAGAGAAAAAAAAAGGGCAAACAGCACTTGGAAATCACCCAGAAACTCCATCACAAAGTGTTCTCAGTGGAGACTCATCTTTTCAGGCATGGTATTAACTCAGCTTTACCCACGAGCCCTACATTCAATGAATCTTTATATTCCAACAAACAACATGCAATATGCACAATATTTCAGACAGCAAGAATCATGGGAGGTGGGAGGATGTGCCACAAAAGTAAAATGTAAGGGATGAAGGCCAGAAGGCCAACCAGGAATTTTCAGTTTGGGAGTTTTAAGATATTAAAACCTACACTGCCATAAAACCCAACACAAAAATTTCGTCATCTTTGGTGACTGCTCTGTAAGCAAAGCAAAAAGTAAAATGTGGCCTTTTCAAAGATCCACAAAGGCAAAATAGTTGGACTACGTTTCAGTTGACACTGCTGAACAGACACTTGCAGAAAACAACTAACAAGTTCATATGTAGTCAAGACTTCAAGAAATAAAGCAAATATATTCTCCTTCCTCACATCTACACTCCACTGCAAGTGTCCATTGCATACTTAGCAGCTTTTCACACTCCACTAACAAGAAATCTTGTCTTGCTCAAGTATGATGTCCTTTGCTTGAACTACACTTTTCAACTGCAGTCTTTGCCCACTGCTGACATGAGTTAGAGTGTATAAACGAGTGGCTTCTACTGGCATGAAAACAAGATTTGCCCACTTAAACAAAAAAAAAAATCTTGCCCTGCAATGGATGCACACTTCTGTGAAATATGTGAAATACTGTTACCTTCTTTATACAAAAGCGTTTATGAGAGTTGGTCTCCCATCTATAGTGCATGAGACTTACTTTGAGATTATGCCTTCAGCCACATTGACTGTTTCTGAGGATTCTGATTGTTCACTCCACTTAAAGATTTAAAAAAAAAAAGAGGTTACAAAAATGAAAAAAAATTCTTCTTCCAATGCATGACTCAGCATATTAACATATCAGAACAGTGACACAGTACAGCATATAATGATAAAGGAATTTTGTTAATAACTGTTAGGAAAATCATTTAGAAGTAATTTGTAACTAAGTTTGGTTGTTTTTTTTTTTAAAAAAAAAACCTCTTAAAATAAGGGAATATTTTTCTTGTTCAACTTCCATGGTGTCTAAAACTTGTTTAGAAGAGTTAAAAGTTTCTTCCAGTATACATCACCTAGCTTAAAAGAAAAAAAATTGCTGAAATAAAACAAGACACAGATTTTCAACTTGCATTAGCTTGCATGAGAATCTGGAACTAGGATCTACAAGGCTGATGTTTCCAAATCTGGATGCATATTCAACTCAGAGGAAAAGTAAAAGCAATGTACATTTACCTTGCAGAATCTCAGAGCCTGTGAGAGATACAAACCAACACAGAAAGATCCCCTCTCTATTCCTAATTACCTCATATTACCTCCAGAATGAGAGGTAATAGCTCCACATTGATTTTCTGTGCAGTTTTGAGCAGCTGCTCTCTCTCACTCCCCTTCTCCCTTTCCCATAAAAGTCTTGCAACTTTAGCAATGGGCCACCACTTGAACATACTCTTGGAACTGGAACAGTGACTTCAGAGCAACCGAGGATTATTTGGTACTTAATTTTCAACAAGTTTCCTCAAGGCATGGGCCACTGCCTGTCTAGCCTCATGTGAAAGTCTCAGCAGCACCCTTCCATTTCTAGACTCCACTGAAACATTTCAAAGACCACACAGTTCCTGCCCAGACCCCGTTTTTATCTGTTTTCTCATCCTGGCTGGTGATTCCTGACCCCCTTGCTTTCATTTTCTTTCCCATTCCCAGGTTTGCACTCTTACAAAATGTGTATTGTGTTCCTACACCAGAGCAGGTGTTTCTTTTTGTGGCAGGAGGAAGGCCAGGGATATGACTCTTCCTTTGTGAGCACTCCCCAAGGATCAGCAGACTTCTGACAGTACAATTGCTTTTTACTAGCCACCTCCATGATGCCAGCAGGATTACATAGTACCAGGAGAATCACCTACATCCTCTTGTTCTGCTTATGCTTTTGTAATTCCCAACAACTGCCCCACTGCATCTTCATTGTGCTAAACACCTAGTCAACACAGCCTCACATCTCTGCTATTGATACAGCACCTTATTTCAATTGCAGAGTAAGCTTGTAACTGCACTGGAGCTTGGTCCTTTGAGTTAGGAGTTAGCAGTGAGAGTAGAGATTATTCTGCATCCTCAGAGAGCAAAATGCATAAAAGTTCTGACTTTGTCCTAGGGAGTATACACAGTAAATTTAAAAAGCTTACAGCTTGAGGAAATAATGCATTATGATTCTGTCATTTTAGATTAGAAGTAAACAAACCTTGTAACTGTGCAAGCTCCTCTCAGCAATATTACCCTTAAAAGATTCTTCTGGATAAAAGAGAATAAAGCACATGGAGAGAGCAGATAATCCTTCATCACTACACTTATTCACATCAGCTCCACTATCAAGAAGAAGATTGACAACATCATTGTGGGAATGAACCTGTAGGGGGGAAACATCCATACTTGCACATATATGTACACACTTCTAGATTTTGACATGGAACGAATTAACAAGACAGTTTTAAAGTAGTGACGCTCTACACTGTTTAGCTAATTCAAATTTATATTTCCCACAAAATAGAAACACAATACTGAACCATGTCTTACAGGGTTCAGAACATGCATTTTTCAGCTAATTTTTAACTACTGAATTTCACAGGAATTCAGTGAGGATTCATGCACAGAAAGAGACTAAAAGTGACTGAGATGGCTACAGGAGAAATACAGCATTCTAAATGATTATCTAGATTTTGCTAGCCATTTACAATGAATGCCAAGTATTGAGGTAGCTGAAAAGGGCATGAAGAAAAAGGGGGGGGGGCAGGATTTCATCCCCCTCCTACAGAAATTGAAGTTGTGCGTGCATGGTTTCTAGCCACCACCACTTTTCAGCAAAAACAAAACAACTCTGTCTGAATCTGATTTCAACTAGGAAAAAAAATAATAAGGGCACGGTCACATCCAAGAACATAGATCTAGTCCACTCCACAATCATAACCTGAAATCAAACCTGACATTTGAAATCATCTCTAATATTTACTGAAGGGGCTTCTTTTAGGTTATTTATTTACCGTGGGGTTTGGCATGATACCAGTCATTACAGATACTACTCATGCCACACCGCTTTTCTGTTTTTCCTGTTTACTGAACATTCCTTTCATACTATGTAATGAAACAAGAGAAAAATTTAATCCAGCCTACTATACCAGGCATTTTCTCATCATGTGGTAAAGAGTCATGCTTAGAGTCTTACAGCAGCAGCAGCAAGTGCTGTGTATCCATGTTTGTCAGCTATGTCTGGATGAGCAAGTCCATTCCTCAGAATTGCATAGACCCCATCATAGTCTCCTCTTGCTGCCTTCTGAATTAGCTGCTCTGAGGCAAGTTCCCTGGGGCCTGGAGGCCCATAAGTACTGCGGGCTCCACTGAGAATGAGGTTGACATCTGAAGTAAACTCTGCTTGACAGCGCCTTGAAAAGGAGAAAACAGTACGGCACATTTAAGCAGCTAGGTACTCTTAGACCGCTACGGCAATTAAAGAAAAAACACATCAAGAAGAAACACATAAAGAAAAAACACAAAAACAAGAATAAAGTATGTTGGTGAGCAAGATGGGAAAATAAGGCCAGCTATCATTTTAAGAACTATTTCAGATAGTGTAAGCTTGCTTACATTAATGGCAGAAAGGCAAACCAGTGTACGGGGTGCTGGCAGCAGCATATAGATTTTAGCTACAGAGGAGTTAAAAAATATCCAGCCACCAAATATCTACTAAAATAAGAAAACAAAATCTGACTACCACATATTTCTATGAACCAATTTATCATGCACACTCATGACATCTGTTTATGATTTAATTTCCATCATCTGCTTTAACTATGACTATAAAATATGCATATGTAGCTTGTGTTCCTATCAAAAAAGCAAGTAAGGAAATACTCTGTGGGCCCAAAGAGCATCTCCACGTACAAGTACCGAGCTACATAAAAACTGACATGCAGTTGGCAGTTCTACTAGCTGTAGACTTGCTGCAGCATGTTTTGTATAACCTTGAAGGAGAACAAGAGTCAAGACAACCACAAAAAGGTATCATTGGCCAGATTTTCAGTGCTTTCAAAAATCTGGCACTCTGCTTCTCCATCTTTCTACCTCTACACAAGATGCTACACTCTCAGAACAGGGAAGGTCAGAACAGGTCTCTACAGCCCTTGCCTCCTAATTCCTTTCAAAACCAGATTTCCAGAAACTCGTGACATGCTAATGAGTTGAGACTATTTTTATAGGTGTAACCGGAATAAAACTGATGTTTAACGTAAAGGAATAAAATTTGTGAATTGAGAGATGAATATGTTGTTTGTTTCTTTTTTTAAAAAAATCCTCATTGGCAACTTGTAATCTCAAGGCCATAAAAAACAATCTGGAATGCAGCTTTTATCCTGCAATGTGAATTTGAAAATAATGAACACCCATGGATAATAATTTCTAAAAATCCATACATAATAAACAAATCATCAACAGTTACCTGTGCTTATAAACATGCGTCTGCATTCTAACTAGTAGAGGGGTTACATTTGCAATAGGCCAAGGGTCTTCCTCAGGCAGCTTTGGGGTGTTCTGAAAATACCAAGCATCACACTCTTCTAGGAAGGAGCGAGTCAAAGTAAGATGATCTGTGCTACGAGAATATGCAAAGACTCCTTCAGGGAAAATATCCTTATCGTCAAAAGGGAGATGTTTATAGCTACGGAGAAACGGGTCTTCCTCAACTGAAATATACTTCTTTTGAGAATTGTCATCAATGTATCTATAGTGTGCTGGATAATCCAAGAGTGAAAAATAACCAGGTACTTCAGTACATAGTTTAATTAGATGATCCCTGAGCCACAAGCCAACGTCCTGACAGCCATCTGGATAGCTCTCAATCCCTGGTCCAAATCGCTCATCAGATTTGTACAGCCCCTTAAGAAACAAGTAAACTCATTAGTACCAGTCAGAGATCAAACAAGTTGTACAATTAAAGTCTGTTTTCTACTTAAACTAATGTGGCTGGTTCTGGCCCTACTGGTCCACTTCCTATTGACAGAGCAGTAACTGCTGAAGCCAATCTGAACGGCAAAGCCTGCACATTCATTTTGGTCCATTTAATAGCAAACACAAATCTTCCAGCACAAGAACAGTGGAAGGCCCTAAACTTAACTACAGTGGGATGTAATGTTTAGATGAAACTTCCTGATGGTTTTAGGGCCTGAGCAAGATTCTTTAATTTTAATTTTATTCTGTGACCAATTTTAGATTCATCAGCCGTGCTGCTACCTTTCAGGACAGGACAGATTTTTGGCTAGATTTTCCTACCTAATCAAAACAAACACGTCTGACACACATCTGCACAGACACAGAATCTGGAAATGACAGTTATTTCTTTTCTTACAATGGTAACTAAATTTAGGATATCTATAGCCTTGCAAGCATGACAAGACATGCCAACAGAAGAGTCTCAGTAGCAAATAAAGCACTATAGGACAGGAGTTTTAGTCTTCCTATAAGGGTATCCTAGTTTGGCCATGATGCTATGGTAGGTAAGGCATGAGCATTACCAAATTTAAGCAGACTCATGCATATCTGGATCACGCATATGGTTCAAGACAGGTTCACACTAAGCTATCACAACCTCAAAACAGCTATTTAGAGCAAAAATTAGCAACTTCACATTGAGCTGTTTAGCTACAAAGATAAAGGAGCAGGAGAAAAGCGCTACCACTGGCAAGAATAAAATTCTGAGTATGGTTATGATCTGAAGCTTCTCTATTTTTCCCCTAGCTTTAGATTATACATTATATACTCAAATTAAAGCTCTCCTAAATCCATAATTAGTGCCACATTATCAATATTCAGCAAGAATGCTATGTTCTTGTTGATAACCTCCTCAATGCAGAGACTGTTATGTTGTTTCCCTATATGTTTTAGATTATTTGATGAATTGCAGAGATACCCAGGGATCAGTAGGAATGGGTGGGTGGTGTTCCCCTACGCTTGGGACTTTTCAGATATAACTTGTAAGAAAACAAAGAAGGACTGCAAGCTGTTAGAAAACAAGATTTCTAGCTTCTACTAGAAACACTAGGTCTGAAAATGATGCAAAACAGACAACTAGCTACCTGGACACTTCAGATTGCTGTCTATCTCCACAGTTTCTTAAAATGCAGTATTTTTCCAGTTTCATATTGCTGGCATCCTAATACGACTTTTGAGAATACTGTCTAACTAATAAGCTCTTCATCAAAGAAGGAGAATAAATACTGAAATCTTATACGTTAGATACTAGAATAAGAAACTTTCCAGGCATCAGATTTTTAGCTCTGGACAGATGGTATCACATCACAGGGCCAGAATGAGGATCCCGGGAACTACAGGCCTGTCAGTCTGACCTTGGTGCCAGGGAAGGTTATGGAAATCATCTTGAGTGCCATCACACAGCACGTACAGGACAACCAGGTGATCAGGCCCAGTTAGCATGGGTTTATGAAAGGCAGGTCCTGCTTGACTAACCTGATCTCCTCCTATGACAAGATGACCCGCTTAGTGGATGAGGGAAAGGCTGTGGATGTGGTCTACCTGGA